CACACACACACACACACACACACACACACACACACACACACACACACTGAGAACAAAAATAAACCAGAACAACAAGGACGACGCTTTCTGTGAGAACACGCCGTGTCCTGCTGAAGGCCCCGGTGCACGGTGAATCTCAGCGTGGCTGCGCCATGTTAAGCCTGGCCTTACTGTAGCGTCGGGTCGGAGGAGCTTGTTTGTCTGCATCTTAATGAGGCACCATGAGGGGATGCTGAGAGAGGGAAGCAGCGGGAGGCTGGCAAACTTATTCTGCAGCTCAGGGACAGAAATCCCATCATGACGCTTTGTTAATCTCCTATCGAGAACGATGGTAAAAGAGCGCACCGAGGCTTCAGACACAGCCTACAGTAAAGCCCCAAACGTGGAAAATCGTGATTTCAGGGAGAGACACCTGCCATAAAAGGCGTCTAGGCATTAATGGAGCAGTTTGCTGAGCCACTGTAAACACCTTTTGCACAAAAATAAAATAAAATAAAGCACGGTCTGCATGAACTATGGGCACAGAAAATATGCTGTGGGAGGAGCCTCAGTTTGAGAGATCAAATATTTCTGAATAAGGATGAAAATGCCTTTCCACAAGCTATGTCTAGCTTAAAGCTACTCACTACAACGTCGTTTAGACGGATCAAAATACATTGAAAAAGTAATAAACTCTGCACATGTTGATATCTGAGTTTTCCTTAAAATTTGGTTGCCTATTAAAAACAACCAAAGGAACTAAAAAATAGATAAAAAAATGGCCATGTAGGAGCTTTATGGATGGAGAAGTCCAACAGATTCTATGACCAGCAGAGAGAGCCAATACATTTATCGTTGTGTTTTCTTACTCATTCCTTCCATGTTTGGCAGCACATTCACTTTTGTATTTCAACCTGAACATCATCTCTGGGATGCTTTTTGCACTGATCCTACCATGCTTGTTTACTACGCAGACCACAGGCAGCCTAATATAGGCCAATCACATGACTTGGCTTTTAGCAGATTCAGCGGAGTGCTTTGTTTACCTTACGTACAGTATGTACCTGCATCTCAGAATTTCATACCATAATATTTGCAGAACAACTGGCATAAGCCCTTTCAAATTGCAGCATTTGTCTTTTATCCCATACTTTGCAATGAGCACCTTTTAATTAGGCAATCTGAGCAACGGCCGTGTAGACGGTAGTGGTTCCGTAAAGTCACGTTCAACGAGAAATGCGTTTACGAACAAATGCACGCTTCATATCGCCACTCGAAATGTAGAAAACTGATCAAACTGATTGTACCGGAGGCAAACAAGGTTTTTTTGTGGGGGTGTTCATTCCAGACACAAAGCTGGGATTTAATTAACCTGGAATGACTCTCACGGTTCCATTCGGCTACAATATCCACTCATTTAGCTCCTTCCATGCTCCTGTCTGACAGAGAGCTCAGCTCTGAATGATTCCAGCAGCTGAAATTACACACTATAAAGGCACATTACAAATAAGGTGCAATTTAGGAGCTGGCTTTGGGGTGGGAAAAAATCTTTTTCAGAGCAGAATATCTGTCAAAGGCTTCACACCAACAAAAAGTGACCTGGTTATTAAACACGGAGATAATGAGAGATGTGTTATTTATTTCTTTTGAACAGAATGTTTCCGGCGCTTTGATTGGACAGTTGGAGAAAGCTCTTTCAGCTAGTTTTTCATCATCTCTCGCTACATTCCAGTTGCCACCGTCAGCTGGTCGACTTTCTGATTGCTTTGTGGGCACGGCCTGTGAATAGAGAAAGCTGGTGGTTTGGAGGCTGCATTAGTGAATTTCTAGCCACCGCCATGGCTCTCACCTCCAATCTGCCACACCTCATACCATCAGTTCTCCCCAAGAAGAGAAAAAAAGTGACACTGGAGGGGAAAGGGGGGTGGGCATACAGAAAGCCTCCATGTGTCAGCAAACAATGGCCGCCTCCCTCGGAGCCATGCACACACAAACGCACACCTGAATGCAC